AGCGCGCCACCGCTGAGCCACATCTCCAGCCCCACTTAACCTAGTTTTTAAATTTTGAGACAGGGCTCATTAAATTGCCAAGTCTGGCCTCAAACTCCTGCATCAGTCTCCCATGTTGATGGGATTACAGGTGTGAGCTACCATACCCAGCTTTAGATTTGAGTTTCTAATATCATTCTCCACTAACAGGAACCTGGACTCAAGAGAAACGGCATAAGATACACACAAGATTCTGTGACTGGGGTAGGACACACACAAGAGAAGACTAAGGGTTTCTTATTATGCTGAGAATGAAATATTTAAAACAAGTAAAAAGAAAAAAACATAAAGGTGAACAGGATACAGAAAGCAGCTGGAAGGGGCTGTTAAGTGGCAAAATTAAGTACAGCAATGAATTATAAGTCACAGGGAAAAAATATTATGGTCCTGGAAGATAATATTTCTGTTCTTAAGATACATGAACTAAAATATTTAAAAGTGTGGCAGCACCTGCCTGTAATCCCAGCAATTTAGGAGGCTGAGGAAGGAGGATCACCAATTTCATGTCAGCCTCAGCAATTTACTTGTCTCATAAATACATCCAACTCAGTGGTAGAGCATCCCTGCCTGCAATCTCCATAACYACACACACACACACAAAGGTAAAAGGTCATGATGTATGCAACTTACTTAAATGGCTGGGGGTGGGGGTGGATAAAAACTAAAAAATGTGCATGTGTAAAGAGAGGACATGAACACAAATGATAAAGGAAATAAACTCAGCAGTAGGTAAACCTGGTTACAGAGGGAAAGTGTTCTTTGCACTATTTTTATTCTTATACTCTTGTGAGTTTGAAATTATTTTCAAATAAAATGTTTAAAAGCTTAAAGAAAAAAAGGAACAAAAAAAAGGGCTTGCTGGGGGTGGTGGCACACACCTGTAATCCCAGCAGCTTGGTAGGCTGAGGCAGGAGGATCTCAGTTCAAAGCCAGCCTCAGCCAAAAGCAAGGCACAAAGCAACTCAGTGAGACTGTCTCTAAATAGCATACAAAACAGAGCTGGGGATGTGGCTCAGTGGTTGAGTGCCCTTGAGTTCAATCCACAGTACCCCTCTCGAAGGAAAACAAAAAAAATGGGCTCTCCTCCCCTCCCTTTTTCCATTAGCCCCAGTGTGATGAGAAAGCCCTACTCCTTATCCCACCTGCAATGTGCTGGGTGATCTGTTCCTTCTCGTTGTCTTCCAGCTCTTCCCAGCCTTCCAGCTCTGTGAGGTCTTCAATTTTTTTTGTGGTGGCCCGAGCCCGCTCCAGCTTCTCAAACATGCACTTAATATGGTACCATTCTTTCATGTCACCCCCAGACTCGGAGAAGGGATTGGGCACCACCTTGCCTATGCGGCACACGCCCTTCACAATCTTCTCCTTGCATTTTTTGCAGCCGGCTGTGCTGCGCTTGGCGTAGTCCACACAGAACCGTTGCTCGGCCATCTCACAGGGGCTACTGCAGAGTCCCACATGCGACTCTGGCAAGAAAACAAGGCAGGTGGCACGTGGTCTTAGATGGGCTCCCTGGAATGACAGAACAGGCTTTCTTCGCTGGAGGAGGCAACGCCCACGTAGCAGATCTGTTTCCAAGCACTGGCTGAATTTCCTTATGTCAGGCCAGTGATATTGTTCTCGGAACAGGCACAGTTCTCTTCGGCCAAGTGCACACAAGTTTTTTGGGAAGAGGATCTTAAAGGCCAAAGTCATATAGCTACATGAAAGGACAGGAGACAACAAAATGTGAGATGTAAACGAGAAGCCAGGCTTCTAATTTCCCAAAGACCACAATCTCATACAGTCCATGCTGACTAATCACTTTCCAAAGGATTAAAGACTCATTGCCTAAGTGAAGCAGAGTTCCAGTACGGGAAAATCCAGTTTCCAAAAAGGTGTTCAATTATCTAATGTACATAAATACATCTAGTAAATCACAATGAAGAGAATCTAAATAACAAATTTTTTTTTCTCAGGCCATCAACAATCTGATACTCATAATGGATGATGACCTTTAAGCATTACAAAATCCTTAAGTTTCTTTTTAATCACCAAGAAAAATGAAATAATGTTCATGAAGTTTTAATTAGAAGTGTAACACATATGCCATCCCCAGAAAACAAAACCACTATATAGATTCRTGATCTAAACAGAAGCCCTCGTTTGAGAGGCTAAGAATTTAGCAGAGCCTAGAACCAGACGGTTCAGGTTCAAATCCTAGCTAAGCCACTTATTAGCTGTGTGTTCTTGGTGGATTACTTAACCTCTCTGTAGCTGTTTTCTTATTTACAAAACATGTCTAATAATAGTAACTAAATCAAGGGGTTTCTGTTCCAAGACTAAAGCCTTTAGAATAGGGCACACAGCAAGGACTCAATAATGTTGGCTCCTACTAGTCAGTGCAGCAGTTAGTTAATCTTTAAACTGAGGATCCCTATGTGCAATTAACCTGTTTAATTCAGCAACTTGAATCAGRGAATGCTGCAGCAACTAGATGGTCAGAATGGAATGAACTGATAAGTCAAGCCATGTGGTTTATCAACTGTGATTCATTCAGACCTTTTTATATTTGTACTTAAATAACTTTATTGTTCTAATTTTAAATACACTGGGAATTATTTTCAGTCTGCACAGTGCTATGAAGTGAAATTACTACTGCATTATAATAAAAGCGGGCCTTACAGCAGTGCAACACGGTGCAGAGAAAAGCAGGTGGACTGAGGAATCAGGGATGGGAGGGCCAGTGCGTCCAGCTTAGAACTGTTACCCTGGCGGAATCTCTGAACTTCTGAGTCTTAGTTTTCTTACTTCTAAAACGGAAAATAAGACCTACCTCGAAGGGTGGTTGGGGAAATTACAAAGAATCCATGGACGGGCTGATGGTAATGGTGGAGTTCTGAACTCTCTGAAAATGCATACAAAATATGTATATTTGACAATGTACGTTTTTGGAGCGAGAACATCAGTAAGTTTCGTGAGATTCACAAAGAACTGCATAACCCCCTGAAGTTGAAGAACCGTCGCGGAGGTGAGCAAGGCCAGGAGGCTCACAAGAGCAGCTCAGGAAAGCTGGACCTCCACGCGATCCTTACAAGAGCAGCCCGCGGCCCCCAGGGGAAGCAAAGGAGAATAATGAAAGGGCCCGATCTGGAACCGGATCGGAGCGCCGAGGCCTGGCCGCAGCCGCCGTCCCGGGGCCTCTGMGGAGCTCTCCGGGCAGGACGGCCGMCGGCCGCRAGWGGCTCCCAAATCCATCCAGGCGCGGGCAGTGGGCGGCCCCTGGGGGTCCCGGGGCGCCGCGGGCTCCCGTGGGCTCCCGGGGGGCCGCCACGTCACGGAGGGTGTGCCCCCAGGCTCCGCAGGCGGGCGGGCGGGGGAGGAGCCGGTGGCGGCTCCCGGGCCGCACTGCGCTGGGGCCCCGGCTGTGGCCCCGGCCCGCTTCCCTCCCCACAGCGCGCCCAGCCGCGCCGCCCCTCACCTGCCTCCCCGGCTCCAGCGACCACCACTCGCCTCCGGACCCGGCGCCCACAGGCCGCAGGCAGCCCACTGGCGGTTGGAGAGCCTGTCTCTTTAAATACGGGTCCTTGAGCTGGCGGCAGTACGCAGGCGCAACGACCGAGGCCGTAGCTACGTGACCCGGCCCCGCCCCCGGTCCCGCCACGTGCTTGGTGTGGATTCCGCTCGGTCGGGTTGGTGATGAGTGGAGGTAGTGGGATCCCCAGCCCCGCGAGGACGCCCCCAGATTGCCAGGGATCGTCTAGTCCTTAAAGGTACTGGTTGAGAAACTGTACTGCAGTGAACTTGGCAAAGGTGGCGTCATCCAGGCTTTTTCCGTATTTCCTCTGTGCGGTGTCACGCCCTGCCACTGTGCAGTAACTTCCTGGATTGAAAAGAGACACCGGATAGGTGGAAGGTAGCTGTCGTGTGAAGAAGCAGTGGGGGAGAGTAGCCCTTTGGTTAGGTATGGTTCAAAGTGTRTTTTTTTTWAAATATCTTTTAGTTGTCAATGGATCTTTATTATTTTTTAGTCTATATGTGATGCTGAGAATCGAACCCAGTGCCTCACACTCTACCACTAAGCTACAACCCCAGCCCTCAAAGTGTACTTTCACTTCTAAACCTCAAGTCCGCTTTATGACAGCTTGACTTGGCTATTTTTACAAAAGAGCGACAGAGAAGGCAAGTAACCTTGTTCAGGGTCCAGAAAGGGCAAACAGCTGGATCTTATTACATAAACAAAGAACGGATATCTAAGGGAATTCTTTATTTTTTCTCTCTTTTTGGTAGTGGTCRTTGAACCCAGGGGCTTCCTACAATTGAGCTATACCCCAACCTTTTTAATTTTTTAAGACAGGGGGTCTCATTAAGTTGATGGGACTGACATCCAGCTTGTGATCCTCCTGCCTCAACCTCCCAAGTCTCTGGGATTATTGGCATGCACCACCACCCAAGAGGATTCTTTGCTTTGTGACAGTTTGACCTTCATTCTGTAGGGGAAGGTGAATCATGAATGAACCTAGGGAATACTAATTACTGTTAGTCGGAAGTGACTGAGGCAAGGGAACCAAATAGAAGGCTATGTGGGTGGGGGGGGGCAAAATTGCAATGTATGCAGTCAAGAGGAGAAATAAAGAATGTACATGAGCTTCTGCCCTTTTCAGTGCTTTATTCACTCAAACTACTCAATACAATTTCACTCTATAGGTTCTTAAACAAGAAAACAACAATCCTTAATGCTAGGCACTGCAATAGACATAATCAATTCACAGCAAACAATTCTAGATTAATTTTAAGCACTGCAAAACACTTAATCATGATAGGCTAGTCATTTCCTCTGCATGCTAAGTTCAAAAATCTCAAGCCTTAGGCTTTATGTCCAGCTGATGCACACTCACTTTGGCCCGGGGTGACTAGCTTTGGAACCAAGGCAGGCTGTTCCTGGCATGGAATGGRCGACTAGTTGAGGAGAGGGTTGTAGGGAGAAGTTGTGGCTCTCACCAGGGTCCAGACCAGGCAGTAGAGTTTGAGAGTGGGTGAGGATCATGCAGAGGATCAGGAAACCACGTCAGTTGATGGGATGTTAGGTCCTCACCAGGCTTTCCAGCTCGAGTGCATTCTTGTTTCAGCTGGCTGAATCCCTGTTCATCAGCTCTATTATTTATACTAAATTCTGGGACTTTTGACCCCCCTTTCAGTCCACTGGAATTTTTCATGACATCATTTACCCTGGGGTCAGAAACATCTGGTCTGGTGGTGGTCTCCACCCTGATCCTCTCTCGCCTTTCCCTATCTGGCAAGGTCAGCCTGCCAGGGGCTTCACCAGGGTGAGGGGAAGTAACTTGTTTGAGGTCTTACTGGAGGGCTCTGTGGGTGTGCCTGGTGAGACTGCTGGCTTTAAACTGGAGTTTTTAAAATGGAGTTGCTTAGGCTCAGGCCTAAGGTCATCCTCCCAAAGGCCCTTGTGGTATTACATGTGAGAGATGAGAGTGTCCTGATGAAGTGCTCATATATCTGTTATGAAATAAGGATGACTTGAGTGACCTTATAGAGGCCATCACCTGAACTAAAAAATTAAGAAAGGAGGAGGAAGTTCATCCAATAAAGGGATCAGTTTTGTTTTGGGTGTGTTAAATTTGGTTAACCAAGGCTAATGTAGATTCCAGTGTATAAAGTGGACTAAAGCTTCTCTGTCTTTTCTATGATATGTGGCAGAATAAGAGTCTTCAGAATTGGAAGGCCCCGGAGGCTTACATCCTAACTCCAGTGATCCTGAACGTCTCTACCACTGCATTGACTACATTTTGATTTGAAACACTTAACTGGTATCCATCTTTTCCCCTAATCCTGTGCTGTCCAGTACTGTAATAATGACTAGCCACGTATGGCTTTTGAACACTTGAAATGTGGCTAATGCAACTTGAGAGAGGCTATTAAGTGAAAGCTACACACCAATAAATAAATACCCCCGCCCAAGAATGTCAGATCTCACTAATAATATCTGTATGCTAATTACATGTTGAAATAATTTTTGAAATGTTGGGTTAAATAAAATATATTATTAAAATTAATCTCAGCTGTTTTACTTTTTTTGACAATGTGGCAACTAGAAAATATGAAACTGCATGCACTATTTTCCTATTAGATGGCAAAGCCCTACATTTAAAACCTATTTGCAGAGGGTGGCATCTGTGCCTTGTGCTTCTTTTTAGCCTCCCTGATGGTGCCGGGCACATAGTACACAGAAAGTAAAAAGATCCCTTACAAGGATGTTTATTAAGTTGTGTCTTTGACAATAATTACAGACTTGGCTTCTTATTATTGTTTTGCTTCATTAGAGCTCCATGGCACCCCAATGATCTCTGACTCAGGTCCCCTCCTATGAAATGGAACTAGGTGTGAAGGCTGGCAATTGAATCTCTTTAGAAAGATGGGAACTGGCTGGGTGTGGTGGCACATGCCTGAAATCCCAGCAGCTTGGGAGGCTGAGACAGGAGGATCGTGAGTTCAAAGCTAGCCTCAGCAACTGCGAGGCGCTAAGCAACTCAGTGAGACCCTGTCTCTAAATAAAATACAAAATAGGGCTGGGGATGTGGCTCAGTGGTCTAGTACCGCTGAGTTCAATCCCTGGTACTAAAAAAAAGAAAAGGTGGGAATTGCTCTCCCAAGGAGAATGTCAAGTGTGGTGGGGAAAACAACTTTATAGCTTTGTAGTTACAGATTCACATTCTACCTCAACTTGTGTGACCTTCATCTGTCTTGTTCTCTGGGCCTTTAGTTTTCTTGATGAAGTGGCGATAGTTTTACATTTTACATTTAGGTCTGTATTCCATTTTGAGTTAATTTTTAGGAAGAGTGTATAGTCTGTTATTTTGATTCTTTTCTTTTTTTCTTTTTTGCATGTGTATGCCTATGTTATTCAAGCACCATTTTTGAGGTTGAGGGTACCTGAGAGATTAAACTCAGGGCCACCCAGCCACTGAGCCACATCCCCAGCCCTATTTTGTATTTTAGAGACAGGGTCTCACTGAGTTGCTCAGCACTTCACCATTGCTGAGGCTGGCTTTGAACTCGGGATTCTCCAGTCTCAGCCTCCTGAGCTGCTGTGTGTGCCACCACACATGGCTACAAACACCAATTTTTGAAAAACTTATGCTTTTTTGTTCCTTTGTCAAAGATCATTTTAGTATATTTATGGGTCTACTTCTGGGATCTGGTTTTTTTTTTTTTTTTTAATGTATTTTGGTGAGGTTTTTTGGTACTGGGAATTGAACCCAGGGGTGCTTAACCCCTGAGTTACATCCCCAGCCCTTTTTATTTTGAGACAAGGTTTTACTCAGTTGCTTAGGACCTCGATAAATTGTCCAGGCTGGCCTTGAACGTTGTGATCTTCCTGCCTCTGCTTGCCAAGTTGCTGGGATCACAGCACTACTGCACCCAGCTTGGGCTCTGTTTTTTTCCTCCCACTGATCTATTTGTTTCATCAGTACCACAGTATTTTGATCACTTCAGCTTTATAATAAATCTTTATATCAGGTGGTGTTGGTCTACCAACATTGTTATTCTTCAATGTTATGTTGACTATTAAGGGTCTTTTACTTCAAATAAACTATATAATCATTTCATAAAGCTAATATTCACAAATAACTTACTGGGATTTTTCTTGTGATTGCACTGAATCCTCAGCTCAAGTGAGGAAGAACTGATATCTTGACAGTTTTGTATTGAATCTCCTATTTATAAACATTGAATATCTCCGTTTATTTTGTTCTTTGATTTCTTCAAAGTTTTGTAGTATTCTTTATATAGATCTTGTACATATTTTGYTAGATTTATACTTAAATATTTCATTTTGGGTAGAGTGAAATAAGGATAAAATAACTTTTGTGATTGTTTATGACAATTAAATGAGATGACAATACTGACTTGCAAACTGTTTAGCCCGTAGAGGTATTACAGTAAATGTACATTCTCCTCCACCTTCCAGCCTGGGTACATTCGTCCCACTCAGAGTTTACTCTCTTTTGTGGATTAATCAGTCAAGTGTTCATTGAATGCCTACTCTGTATTGGGCACAATTCTCCAACCTGGAATACAGCAAACATTCCTACCCTGATGAAGCTAACAGGCTRGTGTGGGACATAGCAAACAAATTAGGAAAGTACATAGGCTGTAAGGTATGGATGGGTACTGAGCAGAAGAAGGGAGCTAAAGAGGATCAGAGGTGTGGGACAATGAGGGGAGAGTTGCAGTTTTAAATAAAGATCAGGAAGGATTCACCAACTAAGAAGAGTATTAATGAAAAAAACTGGGAGTGGGGCTGGGGATGTGGCTCAAGCGGTAGCGTGCTCGCCTGGCATGCGTGCGGCCCRGGTTCGATCCTCAGCACCACATACCAACAAAGATGTTGTGTCCGCCGAAAACTAAAAAATAAATATTAAAAATTCTCTCTCTCTCCTCTCTCACTCTCTCTAAAAAAAAAAAAAAAGAAAAAAACTAGGAGTGGTGGTACATGCCTGTAATACCAGCAACTTGGGAAGCTGAGGCAGGAGCATCACAAGTTTGAAACCAACCTCAGCAATTTAGAAAGACCCTATTTATCTCAAAATAAAGAATAAAAAGGCACAAATGGTGATAGTTTTCCTTTTTACATTTAGGTCTGTGTATACTTTGGGTACAATCAGTGACTCGAAAAATTATGCTCTGTGTAATATGAAATGAGTTACATTCTGCCATCATGTATAACGAATTAGAGTAAATAAATAATTTAATTTAAAAAAGAATAAAAAGGATAGGGTATGTAGCTCAGTGGTAGAGTGAGCCTGGGTCTAATCCCCAGTACAAAAAAAAAAAAAAAAAAGTGAATGAAAGTGAGAGCCATATGCAGATCTAGGGTAGAGGGAGTATCAAGGAAAGACTTAGAAGGCCAGAATGTGCTTATTACATTGGGAGAACAACTAAAGTGGCTCAAGTTAAGGATGAGGTCAACAAAGAGACAGCTCCTGCAGAGGCCTAAACCATTATAAAGACACTAGCTTTTAGTCCAGGTGAAATGGGAAGCTAATGGACTGCACTGCACCGATAAATGATATGATCTGGCTTAGTAACACTATCACTCTGGCTGCTGTATCCAGAAATCRGGAGATGAGTTAGGTAACTACTGTGAAAAATGAGGACAGCTTTGGGAGAAATGAGGGCAGCTTTGGTGGCAGGAGTGAAAGTAGTGAGAAATAACTGAGGCTTATGGACCCATACTAGGGGGTCAGGGGTGTCCTGGAACCCACTGAATTTTTATACAAATGTGTACATATGCATTTTGGAGGGGAAAACTTCTATTGGAATCTCAAAGCAAAACTATGGTGGTGAATAATCAGGATACCCCATGCCTATTTCTAGCTATTCAAAAATCACAGGGCAGGGGATAGAGCTCCTTTGGCAGAGTGCCTGCCTTGCATGCACAAGGCCCTCAGTTCAATCCCCAGCACCACAAAAAACAAAATGAAACAAAAATCCATGATCAGCTCCTTTCTTCAGACCATAGTCATAAATCCTCCAGGGCATTGATCTTGTTTGTGTCTCAGAGCTAACACCATTCTTAAGACTATCATTCCTGACTTCCAGTTTAGATTCGTTAGAGTTAAGAAGAAATAAAAATCACAGGGAGATGGGTAGWTTCTCTATATTTTCTATGCTAGAAGCTGGAAGCTGGGAAGCCACAGGCAGGAATAGGGGAAAGGTTTCTTACCTTCCTAGAGAGGATAGGCACTCGTGAAGTTAGTTTCCTCTCAGTGAATTCCCTTCTTTAATAAGCTCTGCTCTATGAATCACATAAATCTCAGCAGTGAAAGCCAATTTTATGGTTTGGTTTGCTTAATAGTCGCACAATTAAAGTAAGTTGTAAAAAATGGTGGTGGTGTTTACCAGGATAAATATTTAAAAGGGAACAGCTGTAGGAGGATATAATAATTAAAATCAGTCCCTGGTTTTTCATCTTAGTACAGGCTGCAGAGGTTGGTTCTTAATCAGAGGTGTTTCCTGGCCTCTCCTTTGAAAACCTTGTGCTACAGCTGCCAGGCTCAGGTAGGAAGGAGCAAAGCTTTGGGAGTAGCTGTGCATGGCAGAGCTGGGAGGGGGCACAGTTTGGGGGCAGGACTGAGAGGAGAGTTAAGGTGTGGGGAAGRTGGTGTTGTCACTTTCCTTGAGCTCCTGAATTGGGTTTTCTAGTGTGAAGAAGAAAGTTAATGCTTTTCAGAGGACAATGTGGTTTTTATAAAGAGTTGAGCCTATTTGGGAAGCAAATTTCAGTTCTGTATCCTGCATAGGACACAGAGCTGGTTGACAGGTAGTATTGGTGATTGTCAGTTTTCCAGCTTTGGTTTTGGGGGCAGAGGTTGAAGACAGCTTTTTTTCTCTTAAGATAGCTTTTTTTTTTTTTTTTTTAAGAAACTAGGGATTGAACCTAGGGGTGCTTTACCATGAGCTACATCCTCATCACCCCCAACCCCTTTTTTTTTTGGAATCAAAGGGATTTATGGGTCTACCTTTTCCATAAATAAATCCATACAGAGTTGGGAATTAGGACCATGTTATATACAGAAAGGAAGACAGCATGGCATTCARGCTCAGGGATAGTACACATCATCAGGTGTGGCATCCTCCCAAGTACACTCAAGGCTCCTGGGATCCCCATTGGAATGGAAACAGTAGAACTCATGCTGCAGGATCTATCAGAATTTGGGGGTCCCAGGAAGGTTTAGCCTATGATCCAGTTCCAAAAGTCCCAGGCTTCTCTGCCACCTCCAAAGCTAGCTTCAGGTTCTGATCAAACAGCTCACCCCTGATGCACACTTCCAGGGAGTAGAATGGATTATTGAGGGCAAAATCTCAGTAAATTTCATAAATTTTTCAAAGAACAGAATCTATTCCAGTTTGCCCAGGTTCTGCCACAACCTTGATCCCTGTCAGTGTCTAGAAGAAGTGCAGTTTGAATGTGCCTGAGCTTCCCTGTTCAGGAGACAGCTGGGAGCTAGTGGCAAGGAGCAAGTGGAATATGGAGGCCAGCATGAGCTTC